TGCTTGCGTGTGTGCGAAGCTTGTCGGGCCAAGATCATCGGGTGGAAGCTCGAAGCTGTCTCAACAATGCCAGAACCCTCGCCCAAGCTCCACTCTGGTGTTTGACTCTGCTTCGGCCAAGGCTAAGCCTTAGGCAAAAAGCCTATCTCGACTTATCGTCATTCCTCAAAAAGCGCCGAGTCCCCACGTGCGTTCCAGAAGCCTGCCCGTATAGTTGATGCCGCCGCAAGGTGAGCGCGTGCAAGCCTGGAGGTTGCTTGTAGAGGGTGGGAACTGATTGAGGGCTTGCGAACTTCGACTCCGGCTTGTCTTCGTTGTGAGTGGGTTACACGCACTGCGTCGCGTCCGGTGGGTCTGTAATGATGAGTTGCTCTCTGGGCGTGGGCGGTGCACTCAACGTCTTTTCAAATCCGACCTGAGTCGACCAATCGGGCCGTGATCCAGTGTTCATGGCAGTGCTGAGCACGTCGGTGCGCTGATGATACGCAGAGCCCAAAGACGATGCAAATTGTGAATGATCGGAGACAAGGAAGGAACAAGGGCATGTGAAGATGGCCAACGGGGCAAGAGCTGCCGGATGATGATGATCTACACCTGGGCCTGAGGCTGAACGCTAAAAAGCGGGCTGCGCCGTGCACTGCCAAGGACCATCGTTGGGCTTTTCACATGTCAACATCGCTATGATCACAAAATGCATTCCGTCGCTCGCGGGCGGACAGGACGGCGCGTCGCGGAGCACTGCGGAAGAGACAAGAGTTCGCCAAGCAGATGCATGTGTGTCGTCACTGGTGGCAGAGAAATTACGCCGGCCCCTTATCTGGCAGCGTTTAAGGGCGTTGCTCACTGATTGCTTTTCAGGCAGTTATGCTGTAGAGGCACGGTTTCATGCAGAGAGGTGCTTCTTGGTGTGGTTGGCTTTCGCATGTGCTGCAGAATCCTCTCATTGAAGTAACGCCGCTGAGGTCTCGGGTTGAAAAGAAAACGCCCGAGATCACCCGAATCACCGTGGTAATACGATGTCATCGCCTTCCCGACGATGCTCATGTGTAAAAAGTCTTATCGTGTCAAGATGGATCGTGCAGCGGTATCCTTCCCTGCGCCCAACGAGCCTTGTCGCCTCGTATCTCTGGAAGCCGCTGGGCGAGGTCCACATCGCGACCTTGGCTTCCAAAGACAAAACAGGCATAAATGAAGAATGTGGATACTTCATGTTAGTATTAAAGTGTAGCGGTTACCTATACCATGCCTCCCCCGTTACCTGTGATATGTCGTGGCGTATAATGGTACGATTGTCTGGCTGATTTCGCCTTCTCTAATCTTCTAGATTTTACTGGCTTCTTTCAGTACCTCGCGCGTAAGTACCTCACCTTTTTTCCTCACTTCACTGAGCCTGCCCATCTTCAATAACCTCCCTATCATCTCCTCGTCTCCGTGGTGGCTGTTGTGCTCGAATTCAGGCTCTTCGCCATATGCTACTCGGGCCGCATCGACTAGTATTCTTGCTGTCATGCCAAATACTCTAAACGTGGTGAGGCTGTCGATTGCGCTAGGCTCTGGGCGAGGGTCATCTCCATCAGGTAAAGTTTGATGCGAAGAAGGTTCTGGTTTGGATGGCGGAGAGGACCGCGCGGAATTGCGTAGGAGTGTCGGAGATGGAGGGGGTCGTGGCATGTAGAAATTGTGCATTCGCCAGCGTGACTCGTGCCAGTCTGTCCAAGAGCCTCGATACCATTTCTCGGGTCTACCGTCTTTCTGTACTGGTGGTGGGCCTTCACCCTCCCACCCTTTGCGCAGGAAGTTGTGAAACGGCGCCGTGAAGACCGCTGCTACTTCCCTGGGGTCGAGTCGCGGCATAAGCCTTTCTTCTACAGAGAGACCATTCGTGTCGGAGGAAGCGGGCACGTCGGAGGACGTCTCTGCCGGACGAAGAAAGGCTACGCAGGGCCGCACTCCGAGCTCGGTCTTTGCGAGATTCGCAGGGAGTTCGCAAAGGTGCTCCACGGTAAATCCTCGAAGCTTCTCCTCATTCATGGGCAGCCCAATCTCTTCGTCCGCTTCGCGTCGTGCGACGTCCCACGGCGACTCGTCGAGTGTATCTGCTTTGCCTGAACCATGTCAGCATGCACGTCTAATCCAACTCCCATGTGTGATCCAGTACCTCCGGGCAGCGCAGCCTGTCCCGCATAGTTGCGTAACTGCGCGCTGCGCATCGTGAGGACCACCTTAAGCTCGCCATGCCGGTCCGGAAAGAGCAATATAAGGACAGCCGCGCGTCTCGTAAGGGGACAGTCATACCATCGCGTTGGCGGAGGGGAATACGTTCGGAGGCGGTCCAAGGCGCGCTGTTGGGCGTATTAGCAAGATGAAGGCCTGCTGCAGACCGCAATCGTATAGAATACTTACAATAGATCTTTGGGAAAGCGCCATCGTCGCAATAGCTTTGCTTTGGGCGAGCCATGCTGTCGGTCTCATGGGATGCGCGTGCGTCGGGAGCGTGAAGCTCAGTGGGGTCGTGGACCGAGGTTATCGATAGGCGGCATGCAAGAGCCTCGTGGCAGCCCCAGAATCTCCCGCGCCTTAAATAGATGCCGTGTGGAGATCGTCACGTCAGGCATTAGTCGACTTGGACAGTAGTCACATCACTCAGTTGTATGGCGAAGTGCAAGTTAAGTAACTTTCATGCAATTGAATCGCATCTCTATATGAAAGGAAACTCCCGATCGTTATCATCGACATGCGTGGCCATGGTGAAGTGCTACATATCCCACCGCGTGAGCATGCGTTGACGACGTGCAGCAGATCCCCGAGGACATAGGAAAGTAGCATGAAATTGCAAAACAGGACCCATCCGTCAACTACGCACCGTAAGTCTATCATATGCAGACATTCTTTTAGGGAAATCATTTCGCACATGAGAGACCAACGCCAAGATGCTGCGATGTATAGACGATTACTCGTCCTACCTCGAACCACTTTTGAACCGGACCAAACAGAGAGCACCCCTGGCCGTGCAGGCGTACTCGTATTAGAAGACCACCGCCTCTATCCAATGCACCACTGAAGCGTTAGTGGGCAGAGTGAGGCGGCGATGAGAAGATAGCAGAGCACCACTTCTTAGATGAGGTCTGTCGTGCACGTTAGTAATCAGGCCTGAAGTACGGGGATACAATGAACACTTACCAGCCACGTTCATGGGCATCTCCTCAATCTGTGTGCTGTAGAACTGCTCGATTTCGCGCATCATGCGGACATCGTCGGCGGTGACGAAGTTGATGGCAACACCCTTACGTCCGAAACGTCCACCACGACCGATGCGGTGGATGTAGTTCTCGCGGTTGGCGGGCAAGTCGTAGTTGATGACCAGGGAGACCTGCTGGACATCGATACCACGGGCCAGAAGGTCAGTGGCGATGAGGACACGGGAAGATCCGGAACGGAACTCCTTCATGATGACATCACGCTGGGCCTGGTCCATGTCACCGTGCATGGCCGAGACAGTGAAGTCACGGGCAGTGAGCTTGTCGGTGAGCCAGTCGACCTTCCTGCGGGTGTTGCAGAAGATGACGGCTTGGGTGATGGTGACAGTCTCGTACAAGTCGGACAGAGTGTCAAGCTTCCAGTCCTCCTTCTCGACGGCAATGTAGAACTGCTTAATACCTTCGAGGGTAAGCTCGTCCTTCTTGACAAGGATACGGACGGGGTCGCGCATGAACTTAGTGGTGACCTCGAGGACGTCCTGGGGCATGGTGGCGGAGAGAAGGACGACCTGGGTGGACTGGGGGAGCAGCTGGAAGATGTCGTAGATCTGCTCAGTGAAACCGCGAGACAACATCTCGTCGGCCTCGTCGAGGACGAACATCTTCATGTGGTCGGTCTTCAGGACACGACGCTGGATCATGTCGTGGACACGGCCGGGAGTACCGACAACGACCTGGGGGCCGTCCTGGAGTGCCTTCATGTCGTCACGGACGCTGGTGCCGCCAATGCAGGCGTGGCACTGGACGTCCATGAAGTCACCGATGGCGACAACGACCTTCTGGATCTGCTGAGCGAGCTCGCGGGTGGGGGCGAGGATGAGCGCCTGGCAGGCCTTGACGTTGGAGTCGATCTTCTGGAGGGTCGAGATGGAGAAGGTAGCCGTCTTACCGGTACCGGACTGGGCCTGGGCGATGACATCGTTGCCTAAATTATGTCAGTCGCTTGCTGGGTTGTGCGGTGGTGGGGGTGGGCAAACGTACCCTTGATGACGGGCATGATGGCGCGCTGCTGGATAGCAGAGGGGCGCTCGAAACCGTAGGCGTAGACTCCACGGAGGAGCTCAGCCTTGAGGTTCATGTTGTCGAACGAGTCGGTGATCTCATCGTAGTTGGACTCGATCTGGCCTGCGCGTAGGTTAGCCGGGGCTCGCAGAAATGTTTGCAGGTGAGGCTATCGTCGCCGCCGCCCTCGCACTGCGGGGCGCGCAGTTTCGAAGAGCAGCGGGACAACACTCGGGGCACAACTCACCCTCGGGCACGTCCTCAAGACCTTTGTCAGCCATGATTGCGACTGGAAGGAGCGACTACTGGTGCGGGACCGTAGTCGAAGTGTTGCTCGTGGCGGGGTTAAAGCGGAGGATCCTCTGGATGCCGCCGCGTGTGTAAAAGTTGTGTAGTAAAAGCTAGATACCAGATCCTCTGCAAGAGAATCAAACGGGTATCTAGGGTAGTGTGTGTATTGGTTGTGTGGTGGATTTGGTGATGGAGGGACAGAGAAGGTGGGCGCTTTTTGGCTTAAGAGGTCGGCCACAAAAAATCTCAGCAGTGTGCTAGTGCCAAAAGCACGCTAGTTCAAATGCGCCCACGGCTCCCACCTAGGTCCGCCTTCACTTCCACTGGCTCGCTCCAGCGTCAGCCTATGACTCTGTTCATTGTCCCTTGGTTTGCCTCCTAGACCACTTGCAGCCCTGAAAACGTCTGCGCTGAGCAAACACCAAGCATCGTGTCCGGTCCATCTTTGACATGGCGCCCGGCATTCTGGACCACCCCGGCATTGCCACTGTCGAATCACGACCTTCGAAAAGAGTCAAGACTTCTGTGGCGACTGAAGTCGAGAGCGACGACGATGATGTGGCGGCGGCGGCAATCGCAGTCCCCTCGCATCCTCTGGGTATCAAGCCGGCCGGCAATGCGTATACTGCGTCCGAGAATATCAAATCGAGATGCGGACTGTTCGCCAGCTTACCCGATGAACTACTGAGCCACATCTTTGAGTCATTCGAAGCTGACGTTCTGATACGCCTGGGGAGTACATGCCGCGCTCTGTATGCCTTTACGAGGTTGGACGAATTATGGCGGGCTTTGTTCGTAAGGTGAGTACCACGGTTGCTATACACAACATGTTGCATTCCCCATCTTTTTCGTATACAGTCATTCCTACGTTTCCAGTCGTCGTCCAGTCATGTAATCGGTCAGGCGGTGTATGTGAAGGAAGGCGTTCCTTGTAAACTCTCTTGGATCGGTATGACTGTGCCTGCACGCCTGACCGCGCCTCGGCCGTGGAAGTGCAGGACACAAATTCATTTCAGGGCGTTCTGTATTTCCCCGGGATAAAGTGGTAGATCGTTGCTTAAGTTGATTGTGTGTAAATTCGTGGTATATACGAAGCTGCATTTTCCCAGTGGAATAGAGCGTTGCTTCTCCTTTATACCAGGCTCAACATGCATCACTCGTTTGCTTGCGTTGAAAATACCAGACAATCACACTTTTTCCAATCGAACGCTAACAATCAAACAGCTCCCCAGCTGAAGACTTTGAGTGGCGTGGAACCTGGCGAGCAACCTACCTGAAGATCCCAAGAGAGCACGTCACTTCAATATCATGCACCAACCTCTTCTCAGACACTCTTTATCGACCATTTCAGTGCGCCCACACAGAACTAAACTCCTACGCGGCCAAAATCCCGAAACAAAATGAGATAGCCCGACTATCAGATCTGACATACGAAGAGTACGCCGAAACCTGGGTGGACAAGCCCTTTGTGCTCACTACACCCGTCCAGCAATGGCCTGTATACGGTACCTGGACGCCAGAGTATCTCCTCGAAAAATTCCCAGAAACCAAGTTCCGCGCGGAAGCAGTAGACTGGCCCATGAAGAAGTACATGTCCTACATGCACGACAACGCCGACGAGTCACCCCTGTACCTCTTCGATCGCGCATTCGCCGAGAAGACCGGCGTAGACATCACAGCGGCACCGCATTCCAAAGAAGCCGCATACTGGAGCCCAACATGTTTCGGCGACGACCTCTTCAGTGTCCTAGGCGAACACCGACCGGACTGCCGATGGATGATCATGGGTCCCAAGCGCAGCGGCTCTACCTTCCACAAAGATCCAAACGCAACTTCAGCATGGAACGCAGTCTTGACAGGCAGCAAATACTGGCTCATGTTCCCCGCCGGCCCAGGCATCGATCCTCCACCCGGTGTCATCGTTAGCGACGATCAATCTGAGATCACCTCTCCGCTCAGCATCGCGGAGTACATGCTCACGTTCCATGAACTCGCCCGCCAAACGCCCGGCTGCAAGGAAGGCATCTGCTATGCTGGTGAAGTACTCCATGTACCGTCCGGCTGGTTCCACCTAGTGCTCAATCTCGAAGACAGCCTCGCTTTGACGCAGAATTTTGTGCCTCGCAAGAAATTGCCTGATGTACTAGGCTTCCTGCGTGACCAGCGCGGCGAAGTAAGCGGGTTCAAAGAGGACGTTTGCGACCGTGCGTATGAACTCTTCGTCGAGAGGCTGCAGGAACAACACCCCGAGCTGCTGGAGGAGGGCCTCGCGGAGTTGGAAAGGAAGGGGAAGAAGGGAAAGGGCAAGTGGGAGCAGCTGACGAAGGGAGACGAGAAGGAAGAAGTCGGAGGGTTTAGCTTTGGTTTTGGTGGGGATGACGATGATGCTGACATTCCATGAGCGTTGCAATGATCGTAGTGACAGCAATTCCGCATTTAATCTCATGCATATAGTGTTCGACAGCGTCACAACTAGAAGGATCGGGGTTTAATCATAACATTCATACATTGCTGTGTGCAAGCTATCTCTCGTGGGTATCATTTAATCGTTAGGTCGTATCATACATCATAATCGCAGCGTCACATCTATCCTCCCCGTTCTGCGCCAGCTCACTTTGCGTGGTTGATGATCTCAACGTACATGTCCTCAGGTATCTTGCCGGCGAAGCTCATAGCCACGGCGACAATCTTCTGAGCGTTAAGACCAGGCAGGTTACGTAGGATCGTATTGGGGCTATAAATACGTCAGTCCTGCTTCAGATGTGTATGAAGGGTGTACTCACCTCGGGCTATTCAAGATATCCCCGCGGATCAGAACCAGCTGAGCCACGATGCACAGAATGTTCAGATGTGGTCCATATGCGAAGAGAAAGTCCCAGAGCTGTAGGACCTCAGGCAACGGGGGCGTGCACGCGCACATGGTGAGGACGGATGCGAAAGCGTAGATCTTGGCTTCCATGTGGTGTGCCATGAGGTGGCCGTACAGCTTGGGGTCGACCACCTCTAGCACCCTGTCCACCAATGCAAGACCTTTGTGCACACCCTCCATCGATCCTCTCACATAACCCGGACACTCGTATGTAATGAGCCGTTCGAAGCCCGTGAAAGCCTCGACTTCACTCCTCGCCGCGTACAGAAACGGCCCACAGAGCACATTCATGCCCTGCACGTAACCAATCTGCTCAGCATCGTTCGTAGTCGACGCCTCTGTACGCGTACCCGCAGTGAGGGAATGCCGCGACATCATCGATGTATCTGGGCTACCGCCGAACTCGGATAGTGTTGGTGGGGACTGCCAGCCATTGACGCGTGCTTCGTGCGCATCGTTGAGCCTCCACGCGACCGCGTTGAGCACACGCGTAATGCTGTTCTGAGTGACGCGTCGTCGGAAAAGAGGATCTCCCTGGAAGGTGCGGAAGGTATCGTTTTGGATTTTGGCGTGCGCGGGTGAGGCGCCTTGCCGGACGAGATCGAGATATACGTCGGTGCGAAGAGGAGGCGCGTTGAGTAGGATGAGCCAGATGTATATGCGCAGCTCGGACTGGACCGGTAGAAATTAGTATACAGAATTCATTGAGCGATTCTAGATTGCGCCCATGCGCAATATGATCGCATGGGGTAGTGTGGAGAACATACCATGCCCTCGCTGTTGGCGGGTATACCTTCGGTCAAGATTGTGTAGCGCAATTCTTGGAGACCCTCCTCTGGATTACTCGCAGAGGCTCCTTTGAGCAGCAGCATATCCAGATTCGTCATTTTGTTAGATTGGCATGAAGAGGTTGGATTCGCTCACAATTCGAAACTCTGGTCGGGGTCTCCGCACGGCGGTCTGCACTGACGCCTTGGCATCGGCCCTGGAATCCTCGCCGCGGACCCGCGTCATCCGAAGACGTTCACTCCACTGTCCTTAATGCATACGCTGCATCTACATTTCGTATAAGTTTCTTGTTTCCTAGTCCGTTGTGAGTTAGCAACTTATTTGCGTGGTTGCTACTTGTACTATTTCATTCCGTCTGTGTCGTCCACACCTGAATGCAGCATTGGAACAACGGGTAGCGACGATCTGGGAACACCCACAGAACACCCACAGAACACCCACAGAACACCCACAGTAATATCTACTTATTCCACTGCGCTCTCATCTTACTTACATCGGCAGCAACTGCCAACATGGTGTTGCCGCCAGAAACCGAGTACAATCGCAACGAATACAAGCGCGACACCAAGTACATCGCTGGGTATCTTTTGAAGGCTTCCCGGAAATGCGGGTTTTTCCGACGCCTTCCAACAACTCTTACAAGCATGAGGTTTACGAACGTGACTTTGAGCCAATGGCTCAATGTATCGTGAAAAATCCTCAGAAGGCATCTATACCACCGTTTATGCGTACGATCCTGGTTCGAGCTATTCGGTTTCGGCGGGAGGTGACGGCCTGGTATCGACTCAAGAGTTGCGATGCGAACGCGGACCAGCAGCATGACGCTTTCTCCTCGCGCCTTCAAAGGATACTAGACATTCTGCGACCGCATATACGCAAGCCGGACAATGAGAGGACGAAGGAAAAGACGGCTTCCTCGGGGACGACAGCAATAGAAATAGGCTTCTCCAAACTGGCTGTGCAGGATACCACCGAGGACGACGAGGAGTCTAATGATCAGCCCGTGATCGTAGACGACTTGCCTTCTGTCCCAGCAGTGGAGATTAGTTTGGACGACGCGAATGTAGAGGAAGACTTCTTTCTTGAAATCAAAGGTTTCTTGAAAGAAATGCAATCGATTCGGAAATATGTCTTAGAGCGATGGACAGGAAAGTCTGATTTGATGACCAAAGCGTTCGTCACGAATACCGCGATCGCAATCGTGCGACAGAAAGAATACGAGTTCGACCAAAGTCTATCACGTCCGCCTCAGTACCCCGCGGAGTTATTTCCCGTCTGGTGTCTACCGGCTTTGCTCCTTTTTAGGGAGCTTTATCCAGAGAAACTTGGGGATGAGAGCGACCTCGACGAATTCATCCTACCTTCTGATATAGTGGGGACTTCCGGTGCAAAATCTTTACTTTGCTTTTACCCTGTGTACAATGGCCTGAAATTGCTCCTCGACACCATTCAGTTGGCCCCTAAATCGCAACACCCAGGGGCGGTTTTGGTGCACAATCTCAGTGAGGAACACAAACATCGAGACATGCACCCTCACGTTCTCGGTGCGCGGGATATGGCTTCAGTGCTTTACGTTTTCTGCCAAATTCCGATGTTGTTACATAACATCCCGGAGGATGAATTATCCCGCGGCGTTCGATGCATGGATAAGGAACGGGCAATACCATTTTGGCTCACCTTTGCTATGCAGATCCAACTCGAAATTAATGATCTTCCCAAGGATTCCTTGGGGGACCCGCTCGAGGATTTACGACGAGAAGTGACAAAGGCGTCCACACTCATCCAAGAAATCAAAACGCATCCTAATAGTCTTGTCGACGTCCATAGAGGCAAAGACTTTGATTCGCTTGAGACGCTCGTGTTAGACCTCGAAGAGAGTTTCTTCAACGACGGAGCCGCCCTGTTTCTACAAGGAGTCGTGAAGAGCTTCATAACCAGGCCGAATGACCGTGGCATAAGAATACCGACACAACTGGATCCGCTTTGTCCAGGCAACCCCTTCGTCAAGGAAAAGGACCTTTTCCTGCGCAGCCACCGCCTGAGATGTGGCGTTTACACATATGTTATAAGATCCTTGGTGCGCAAATTCCCAATTTCACACGACGCCAATCATAGTCATGTACTGAGCGTCGCTCACCTGTACAACATATGCTGCAAGCTGTTCCCTGATGCTCCGCACTTCCCCGATCTGGAATTTTTCCTGCAACGCCAGGATCTTGAACGACTCTTCTATGGGAAGATACCGCAGGACATTATGGAGGCTCAAAAACGGCCTGAACTTCTCCAGTACGGTGTGACTGATGCGATCAATGGCCACTCATACCGTACGATCAGCACGATCGGAAAACGTCTCCTGCGAAGCAGAGTTCTCCAGAGTCCTTCCCACTTAGATTCTGTGTTAGAAGACCAGTTTGATATGCGCGAGGTTCCGTTAACGCTACAGAAAGTCGATGAGTCGACCCGTCGCCTTTTGAATAGTTTCGGCGACAAAAGACAAGAACATGAGCGAATACGGCTGTTCAATTAGCCAGCTGACGCACTCTCGCCCGAAGGATGGACGTACCATAGGCTCTTTTTCCACAAATTCGACAAAACATGGGACCCTGTCCCAACCTTGCGGTCCGTTGTGCTATGGCTCGAGGCGGACGCCGTTAATCTCAACTTCTGCACACCAAAGCTCGTCCTCTTCTGCAGCGACATCCTCCGGGACATCCTGGACATGTTTCGTAGCGACCCTGTTTTCGAGAACGACTTCCTGAAAGAACAGAATAAGCCCACTCTCTCTCCGACTATCGTTCTCCGAATCCTGACCCTTGCCGCCAACGAAATTAAACTACGCAAGCGCCAGCCAAGTCTCCCAGCGAAGAGAATGGACCAGCTACGTGAGGTCTTCAACATCATGCAAAAGCACTACATGCATCCCATGGAAACTACGCCAGGCGAAAAGACATGGGCGGGCGACGTTTGCATTGCGGATCTAGTGAACACGGAGAAGGAACCCCAGATCGGCGAATACTGGAGTGCAGCGAATTTCTTCAGTGGTCGCGACATATTCGCACACGGTGGGCGTCGCATTGACCCAAATAATCTGGGACCTGCTGCTGCTGAGAACTTGTACAAGAATTGGGACTTTGGCGGCAGTAAAGAGGAGAGTAGGATGTTCAACGCCCTTTCTAGGTTTCATGCTCGGCGGGGTTCGAAAGCGATCGTGAGTAGAGCTCTGGAGGGGCGCTACGGATAGCCTTTCGTAGGCGCGCCGAACAAATCACTTCTTCGAGGCCGGGTGTTAGGGACAAGTGGTAGGGTGGTTAACAAGCATGCGCCATTCCATTAAATCAGTATCGCCTCTACGGCACGGGCTACATGTTCACATTGTCAGACTAGGGGTGTCATTGTGGTGAAAAAGAGAATATCATTGAATGATCTCGCTATATAAGGAATGTCGTGTCGTCATGGTATGTATCCCACCAGCCTCTAGAACGCCTTGAAAGATTATGTACAAAAAGAAAAGCAACGCCTAAAACCTTCAACCCTCTTCTATCTTCTCCTGGTGGACGATGTCGATGTCTTCTTGTCATCCCTCCTCGTACTTGTACTTGTCGCCTTGGGCGCAGAAGTTATCGTCGGAGAGGAAGAAGCAATTCCAGCAGCAGCTATAGACGGTGGTGTAGAACTTGTCTGCAACGTCGTAGAGGAAGCAGCGTCCGTAGCAGGCGAGGACGAAGATGATGAGGAAGCTGGTCGAGTGCTAGTGACAAGCGTGCTAGGTCCCTTGCCTCCATTGGCCCAGTACTCCACAAGCGCCTGCTCAACCTTCTCAGGTTCAGTGTAAGCCTCCAGAGCCTCAAGCTCAGCGCACTTCTCATCGATGTGCTTGTCGTCGTATTCATTGATGTCTTTGGAGCGGTACTTCTCCTCCATCGGGTCAATGAACTTGGTAGTCTCAGGATAGCCGAAGTTGGCAAGGCTGGTGACGTTGAAAGCAGCCATCATGTCGTGGTCCTCGTGGATGAGGTTGTGGCAGTGGAACATGTATACACCATCGTATGGGGCGTAGCGGGCGATGACAGTGACCTTCTCGTTGGTACCAAGCAAGACGACGTCCTTCAAAGCTTCTCGTTCGTAGGGAAGAACACTTCGTTTACCTCCGGTGCGGCTCAAGATCTGGAAGTCGACAAGATGAATGTGGACGGGATGGCTCCAGCCGCCGGATGAATTCTCAAGCTCCCAGACTTCGACAGCGCCGCGTTGGGGCTTTGCGAGGATGCGGTTATTGACATCGGCAAAGGTGACTCCGTTGACGGTCCATTCTCCGCCGGTGCGTCCAAATTTGAAGCTCCTGTCGATGCCACTCTTCTTTGGTGGGAAAGGTACTGTACGTAGAGAGCCTGGGAGAGCGCCGTTGCCGGCGGTGCTGGAGACGGAGGAACCGACCACGAATCGCATAACCTTGTCAGTGCTGTTGTAGTCCTCGTCTGCTTGTACGTCGCGAGCATTCTTCATCGTTACGTTCTTTCCGGCATATGCGCTGAAGTCGACGACGATCTCCCAGCGTTCAGCCATTGAGATCTCAAGGTTGTCGGTCGGCACAGGCTTGGACATGAGACCAGTGTCTGCGGCGATGACATTGAATGAAACCTTCTTGGCGGAAGGGTCCTCAAGAGTGAGCTTGAAGGCACGGCTGATGGCTGTGTTGAGCACCCTGAAGCGGTACTTGCGTGGCTCTACCTTCAGGTAAGGCCAGGGTTGACCGTTGACGTGGATGACGTCGCCCCAGAGGGAAACAGTCTCGCTTGCCGGATCAAAAAGCGTGCCGTCACTGTTGTACTGCTTTGAGGCCAGTGCCAGAGGTACATCGTATGAGCCTGAAGGAAGTTTTAATTCATCCTCAGCAGGGTCATGCAGAATGTAGAAGCCCGCTTGTCCGAAGTAGGCGTTCTCCGCAGTGTGGTGAATGGCATGGTCGTGGTACCACAAAGTTCGCGCACTCTGCTTGTTGGGGTAGTCTAGAACTATTAGCATTCATGTGGCATACTGCCAGTGATGGCCGATACTCACAATAGTCTTTGTACTGTCCGTTTTTCGTAGTGTCCTCGGCCCACCCATCGAAAGGTGCTCGGCTGTAGGAACCATGAAGATGCACCGAAAGGTCCTTGGGGCCGTGATTCTTGAAACGAACAATGGCTTCACGACCTTTGGTCATGCGGAAAGTAGGACCAGGTGATACTCCATCGTATCCAACAAGGTTGGCAGGCTTAAGCCCAGGGTAGACTTGTTGTGTGAATGGCTTCACATCGACCTCGTAGAAATCAATCTCATTCCCCGTCGTCTTGTTTCGGTAGGTGTACGACTTGGCCTTATCCTGGGGGATAGGAAGCGGGTTCTGAAAAATCTGCTTGTAGACTGGGCTGAGCCACTCGTCGTCGCCAGCAAGTGCTTGTGATGCCAAAAGGGCTGTGAATCCAATGGAAAGATAGTTCTTCATGGCGTAGTGAAGGCGGATGAAGATCAGGAGATGAGCAGATATGAGTGAATTGGGCTGATGCTCTGTTGTACACTGGCGTCTTGGAACACTTTATACATCCCCATCTCATGGTATACAGAAGCTAAAAGGTCTCGAATACGCCTACTTCATGGTATCCGGCCAGACCCCGTTCCCACCATCCCTCATCGTGGCAAGTGTACTCCCACAAGAATGGGATGGGAAGTCTAGGGCCGGCAGGAGACGCCATTCGGCGTTCTCGCTACTGTTGCCTGAGTGTGTCTACATTCGCCATATCGCAGTCTGCTTGAAGCCACTGCCTGGAAAGGCCGAGAATATGGGATCCTTGCCTAGACATGGCTTGAGAGGCTTGGTATGAGCAAGAGCTAGGCGATGAGCGAAAGCTGATGAGTCTTGGCGACCAGCAGGATGACTAGCCCTTACTGATAGAACAGCATGAGAGACTACTCCATTTACAAGTGCGGAATGAATTCGATCAGTATCTCCGAATGGTGCATATGAGTAGGTGATGCTGAACTCAATCTTGGCTCATCTGGATCTTCTCGACCACGAGAACCCCAGGTCTTCCCTGCTCTTCTCCATGACCACGTGACGGATACCAGTAGGCAAATTGAACAACGAACGAGTTGCAGAGTCTGTTTCGGGAAGACCGACAGTCTCAACTCGGAAAGGTGTAGTCAGGAAGGTCCTCGTTTACGGATGGCGCTCTACATGCCTAGACGACGGCTGGGTACGAGCGGTCAACACGATTCAGGCCCTCCATGAAAACTTTCGTAGCAGTCTCGCCCTGCTAGGGCTGAACATTGTTGCCAGCGTGTGAGCTGTGAAGCGCTAATTGCTAGTGCATCGTGGGACACGAGAGACCGGTCAACTTGGCCAGGCTTGTTTAGGACTCCCGTCCATCCAGGAATAGCAGTTCCGCGTCCGGGGGACTGCTTGTCAGTGTGCCGGTACTGTGTGTGTATGTTCATCGCAAGCGGAGAAGGTTCAAGGGAGGCTGCGGAAAGGGAGGTCTGGACTGTGACCAAGCTGCGATCGGCGCTAAGCTAGCGCCCGTCGGCCTTGGCGTGGAGATCGCTCAGCCTGTCATTCGAAGCCCTCCAAGCCACCACGCCTCTCCACAGCTTAACCTCAGCTACCCCGTAACGCAGCATCAGCGCGGAATTCATGCATGCCGAATGCACGGCTCGTGTCTTCCCTTTCATTACACAGCTTCACCATTGGTCAAGTCGTACCATCACATGTACGCGCTTCAAATCCCCTCCCGTCACAATCCGCCAAAACAACTGCGTCGCCGAACTGGAGTTGACCCAAGAATCAAAACAAAAAGCATCTGATTCTGCCGATAGCCTTGCGCATAATGTCGAGCCTCAACACTGGATGCAGTGTTTTTACTATTACGTCCACGTAGGACCGCGCAGCGATCAAAGGTTGTCTGGAACAGCTGTCGCACCACGCTGGGATCAGACATGGTGGAACAAGAAGACCACCACTCTGGTCCGATCACGGACTAACAGTAGCAAGATCATGCAATTGCTATAACAGAGTCGAGTCTGTCCTTCACACCTACTTCGCAATTGATCCCGAGATGAGGCTCGACCATGGCACAGCGTCGGAAAATATCTAGCATGGGAAAATTCCCGCTAATTCGACATCCATCCGCTTACCCTTGCGAGACCACCCCGCGACTGCACTTGAACACGCGAGAAGGGTGATACTAAATCGGGGGCCCTATTCACCAGCAGACCCCTGTCAGCAGCATCGCCTCTGATGTCTCTCCGCGCCTTCGTACAAACCGCTGTCAACTTTCCAATAGACTCGTGGCATGCAAATGTTGACACTGCATGGGAAAATTCCACGTCGTCTCTGCTACCATCGTGTTGCTTCGCTGTCTTCACAATGGCGCCGCCATTTTCTCAAGTCCGATAAGCTGAGGCTGTCAGTGTGCAGTAGCGAAGGACTAGATGGGACTTCTGCGGCACTTTTCCATTCTGGTCTCACCGATGCTGTTCGAGAATATCGCCTCGTTCAATAATGGCTTGCAGATTGCCAAGTCCGCTCAGCAAGACGCGAAAGCTTGGCCTCTGCTAGACCCATGGAAATACGACGAGCCTCAGCTGTGGCTCCCGCTGCTACTGCAATGTCGTGTCCGGTGACCTGGTAAGCCGTCGTTTCTACCGCGTTGCTCTACCTCGGCCCTGTGGCAGGCAACAGTCGGAGTCCGTTTTCGTATACTTCGCCTGCTTGCGGACGAACGATATCATGACAATGAGTCTACTGTCTGTTCACATGTCAGACCTTTGCTCTCGAGAACTTGAGAGGAACGCCGTCGCGAGACTAGAATGTCTTTCCAGGCCTACCCGCACATACGTTATTTGCAAACTTTTCAGCGCTCAGCCGTGTCTTCGCTCATCCAGAACCGAAAGCTTGTTTCTATCGCACGACTAACGTAAAGAATCACCCAGCGGAAGCCTCGGTTGGAGCATAAGAAGGTCATTGATGCGTACCAAGTACCCTAGCGATAGCTTGTCATGGTTTGTTGAGGTGAGATCTCATGATGTACTCATCATTGCTATGCATGTCGACTACGTGCTATCAATCACTACGAATGCCTATGATGCGTTCCAGATCTTTCGAGAAGACCCCCAATTAGGCTTTCTGACAACTCTGTCGAGGTCGGCGAGACTGTGTCTGGGCAGCTCTACAAACGAATATGACCAGTTGCCACCACATTCCGGACAGCGCGCACTCAAGACCTTTCCCGCGGTCATGAACACGAGGCCACGATGTGCGGGAGGAAGCGGATTCCGCCATTGCTTTTGCGATGCCTCGCTAGTCTTGCCCGTTTCCATTCCGCCAAGGAGCCGACATAAGAGAAAACACTCTATGCGATGAGTCAAGATTCCAAAGCTGTTTGTTGTTCTCGCCGACCAGAGGACGTCCGCAGACTCAACTCCCTGGGGTCTTGCGTTGTCCAGAACCTTTTCATTGCCGAGCTGTCATCGAAGTCCTTGTACGTTACACGCACACGAGGAACCTTCCGTTCCATAGTTTTGGTGAAGTTGTCTCTGGCTTCCTCGATATACTCGATCTCATACCGGTTTGGTTCAGCCGCCTCAGCTTCCTCGTCGTCCTCGTCATCAGAATCCTGGAAGAATCCTGTAGCGGACAGCAGTAGTTCCACATGCGTTAGATTCTCGAAAGCACGGAGCGTGGGACGGTATTCGCCCGTTTCATGATCCACATCATCGTCAGTCCCCGGATCTACTATCTGCGCTAGCATGTATAGATCCGAAGGATCGACGCCAATCTGTATGGAGTGTACTAAGCGAATCTTGTGCTTTGGTCCTTCACTATATATTATGTCCCAAAAGAAGGATTCGTAGTCTCGCAGGCAGCTGAAAGACCAGGTAAGGAATGGACCCGCCAGACTGATAGCTTCGGTGTAGATTTGTCGGCATACCGTAAGGACGCTGAATGGAGAGTATCGGGAAACCTTGCAAGCAGGTTTTGCAGTTCCCGTAAAGGTAAAGGTCCATATGAGATCGCGCAGTTCGCGGGGTAGACGCAGTAGAGGCGATTGAAGCGCATTGCGCTCAACGCTACTTGATGTCAGTATGTGATGCCTTGACGCTGGGCATAATGAGACTAACGCGGACTTTTGCCAATCGATCTTTGGCGTGACATCAAAGACTCCATTCTCTGTCCTTGACAAGGCTGTATGAGATTCCGATATCGGCGACATGTTGCAGGGCTCTGGGCAGACTTCAATGTTGGGTGTGGAAAGAGAGAATGATAGAGGCATCGGGATTGTGCTCACGGCGGTGTGTAGCTCCGTTGATGCGGGGTGATATCACCCCTCATGACCGACGCTCAGGAATCCACGGGCTCACAACACAACTAAATTTCACGTCCTACCTCCTGCGCGCCTTGTATATCGACCGTCTGTGATATCTACGACACTAAATGAAGACAGCCGGTAGCCATGTTGCAAAGCGTCATTATCTGGCATAACGTAACATCAAAGCTATCGCAATGATACCGTATACCAAAGTACCATCTCAATGATCTGCTCGAAGGGCCAGACCGCAGTCTGAGTCAAAGGCGCACTCTACATATTCATTTGGCATAACGCACACATTGGAAAATTGTGAAGCATGCCTACATCGTCCATCAGCATCTCAGCCCACCCAATTCGGCCCAGACAACGAGGGCCTTCTCAATCAACCCATAAAAACCTCTCCTTCCCAAACCCCAAACTCGATCCGCCCATCCCCCACCTTGCCCCTCTCCTGCTCAACCCACCCTTCCACCAACATAACAGCATGCCCTCTGACCAACGTCTCCCCCTCCTCATCAACCAACAAAAGCAGCACCATCCACTCCCCCCTCCTATCCTTACCAATCAACGGATGAGAATCCGGCTGCGCCTCCACCCCCGCCCATTTATACAACGACGAGTACGGCTTCAGAGCCGGCGGAACAACAGCTTTGAAGCGAGCAAAGAGAGAGTCGTGAAGACCCCGCGGCACAGTATCTCTCTCCGCCCCAACCCCAAGTGGAACATCGATATACACAGCAACAAGCACAGATTTCGGCGCTGCGCCCATCCGCGAAGCGAGATGCTTTGGTAGACGTTGAAACGGCATCTCACCTTCCCTTCCCAACCCCCCTACTTCTTCGTACACGGCGAATCTAGCATCCACGATGTCAAACACCATCTTCTCCTCCCCTTCCTCCTCTTCTTCCAGAAACCCCACGCCCACCTCTCCCTCCTCTAAGTTCCTGCTCTTTTCCAGGTTCAGTCTTCGACTGACACCCATGTATGCTTCCGTCTTTAGAAACGCAATGTCATCCATCAGGCACGTGTAGAAGTATTTAGGCATCGCGCCCTTGCCACCTTCTCCTGCTTCTTTCTTGTCATGCCCATACCCATCATCGCCCTCCGGCGCAACGAACCGCAAGTCTTGTGTGACGCGACC